TTTAAACGATTGTGTTTTTGGGATTTGTTCAAATGTTTGTCTTTGTCCAGGACAGGCAGGTTCTCAATGCATCTATTGTTGTTTGGACATTTTAAAAGAAGAAATCAGTGAAACATTGAGAAAAACTTATAGTAGAAAACTTTCCTTTTTAGTCCATTTTAATAGCAGTTATGATGGTAGTTATTTGAATACATTGTTATGTTAACATCACGTGAACTAGATGGTCATAAAGTCTGTGAAATTGTTTTAGTGTCTCGTCAACAGGTAAATTATACACTAAGCACTGCTAAATATTCATAACATATTATTTTGAAAATTGCATATGTTGTACAATGGTTAGATTTGGCTATTCACAAGTGAAACAATACCAGTGTTGAAAGTTTGAAACGATGAAGAAAGCAGAGAAGAACAGTAATATACTGGATCATTCTCTCCCTACAAGAAATGTCTAAAGTGAAATTTGTGGTGGACTGCACATGTCCTATATTTGCTAAAACATTTATTTGTGGATTTTAGATGCCGTTTTTATGCTGGAACTTCTTCACAAAATTTTCCACTGCTTGTAACATTACTAACCATCTTCATGAAGTGTCCATTAGGTCAATACATTTCATCGTGACATCTATATTATTCAACATGTGAGCAAACTTTCATATCCAACCTTTTGTTTGCAGCACCTTATGCCACCATATGGAACTCCGCCACCTCCGTACGTAATGTATCCTCCTGGAGGGTTATATTCTCATCCATCTATTCCTCCTGTATGTTTTTTTAAATCAAACCTAACTGTAATCTATCTCATGCAAATTCTCTTTTCCTAGATGCAATTTTTTTGCTTCTTATCATTCTGCAAATATTGAACAGGGGGCACATCCTTTTAGCCCTTATGCTATGGCTTCTCCGAGCAGCAACATTGAGGCTTCTGTGAGTTATTTGCAACCTTATTATATATTTGAAATAATCAAACTGATTATGATGTATTATATCTCTAGGGAACTGCTCCTGGAGTGGACATTGATGGTAAGTCATCTGTAGGTAAGGAAAGAAGTCCCCTGAAAAGATCCAAAGGAAGTTTAGGTAGTTTAAATATGATTACAGGGAAGAACAACAGCGAGCCAGGTAAATTATCAGGGCAACCAGCCAATGGAGCCTTCTCTCAGAGGTATATCAAAAATAGGTTTGATTGTCATCATTTTATTTACTACATTTAGGATGACACTGTTTGCAAAATATATGTCATCCCTTTTCTAAAAGAACTGATTTTTTGTAGTGGTGAAAGTGGAAGTGAGAGTTCAAGTGAAGGGAGTGATGCCAATTCTCAGAATGTGAGCATCTCTTTCCTTTCCTTTTGTGGGCTTTCTTTCTTTAGTTGTCATCTAATATCACGGTAATAGGAATCTCTTGGTGCTATGGATGTCATTTTTTACCCTTTTTGCAAATGCCTCATTGTATCTTCTCATTCTTCCCTATCGTGCCTAAATTGATTTGCTTACTCATAGTCACTAAGCGCTTCTACTATGACATGAAGTAGTTTTTGGTTTCTATAAGAAGTTAGTCTGCATTTTAGGACTTCAAGTGACACTAGGAGAACATAAAAGGACTTTCCATCATATCTTTGGTTATATTTTCTGTTGTCTGTGTTATTTTGGTTGATATTTTGAATGGAGAACGAGGTCAGTTAATGTTGTGTCATGCCACATGTCTGTTGTCTTCTATGATATTTGAATGTGCATAGGCAGCTGTAATTTATGGTTCGGAATGTTGGGCAGTTGGTAAATTGCATGTACAAAAATTAGTGATGGGAAGATGAGGATGTTGAGATGGTTGTGAAAATACTAGAATAGAATAATAAACATTTACATTTATAAACAATTAATTATAGGTTCAATTGGGGATACATTGATGAAAAAATATTTAAAATGGTGCAGACGGACAGACACAGTTAGAGGAGGTGAAATAATTAGTGTTGTGAGTTTGTGAGAGGTAGAAATACCTAAGAAAACTTTATTAAAAACCCTGAAAAATGATTTGATGTCTTAGTTTGACTAGATATACTACCCTCGATAAAGGTAATTGGTGGAACAGGATTTGTGCTTCATGGTTCAAGTCAGATCTTAGGAGATTATATCTACAAATGCAAAAATAAGAATGTTGAGATGTGTGGAGTTAATAGAAAAAGAGTAGAAAATTTTACATCTGTGAACATTTAGGTGTAGGTCCAATCAAGGATAAATTGAGGAAAATTAACTCAAGATGATGAATCATATTCGAAGAGAAATTATAGATGCATTGCTTGGATGAGATGAATTAACGATTGATTAGTATAATGAGCAAAGATAGAGAAATACTTATGTATACTTTATTAAAAACCATAAAATGTTTTGTTGTTCTTAGTTTGACTAGTGATATTGCCCCCAACTGAGTTCAATGGCAGAAGAAGACCCATATATCCAACTTCTAATAGTCAAATAGTTTTTGCATTATGACTTATTGTTGTCATATCATATTGGTTTTTTTTCTAGGATACAAAATTTGTCATTTCATCCTTTATTTAAGTTTTGATCAAAATGGAGAAGAAGATACTTGCTTTAAGGGAAGAAATAACACAATGACATATACCAAGTAATGCAATTTTGTTCGGACCGGATGTATTGTCCATATTTATCTGTCCAGGCATAAATCAACAATGCACACTCCCCAATTTTCGGCGGTCCACGTGCGGTATGGTGCTTACCACTTGTTCCAGGCCCACAGTCCTGGTAATGAGTTTGGACCAGGCAGTAAGCCTGTTTTCTTTGTTTTCTGTGTTGGTGGTATTCCTCTCATCAACCTTATCTGCCATGAGCACCTCCTCATCTTCCTCGGCTGCAGCCTCTTCATCTTGCTTGGTTGTGGTCTCCTCCTCATCTTCCTTGGTTAACATCTCCTCATTTTCCTTGGTCGCCGTTGGCTCCTCCTCCACCACCTCCTCTACTCCTCTGTTATTTCTGCCACCTTCTCCCTTCTTCTTCTTTGCCTCCTCTCCTCCTCTTCCTTCTATACTTCTCTTCTTTTCTTCTCCCTTCTGGTACCATGGTACATAACAGCATACCACGAGTCAGTATGTTCATTCATACTAGAACCATAGCGGTGCAGCCAATGACTACCATAGGTCCGCTACCCAAAATTGCAATCCTCGACATGTATCAGATGTTTGAAGAAAGAAGTACATGCATATGAGGTTTATTTAATGATAGACAATGAAACAGATTGATAGAATGCTGATGTTATTATTGGAGAGCATTATTTTTCTTGCAGTAGCACATTCATATAAATCCGTGCTATGGCTTCTTGATTTTTTGATGCTAATTATTGGCCATGATGTGCATCGAGATGAAATTTCATGCTTAGCGGAAAAAAAATGTAAATCATACATGTGCATCAGAGAATGATGTGCAATATCTATATTTTGATCTGCGAAAAGTATGATTATTCTCTTCATTTTTTTCATTAAAATTTCAATTAATTGTGATCTGATGTTACTTGTACTGCACATATTCCCCGAGTTCTTGACGCATTGATAGAAAGTTCACTTGGACTTTGTTCGGTTATTTTTCTTTACTCTAATCGATATTGAGGAAATAATTGTTTGCACTTGCACAGATGAATGAATTTCAGGTTTCTGTTTTGTTGAAGCTTAAGCATTAATTTCATTTATGTTGTGCAGGATTCACATCCAAAGACAACCGGTGGGCATGAATCTCTTGGTGGTTGTTGAATTCAAATATATTTTTGCTTGTGTTATTATTATTAAGTATGCCGACTTCCAATTTTTACGAACTGCAGCAGAGGCATCCCAGAGTGGTTCTCAAAATGGTGTTACTCGAACTCCATCACAGGCAATGCTGAGTCATCCGATGTCTATGGTGCCTATGCCAGCAACTGCACCAGGGGCAGTTGCTGGTCCTACCACAAACTTAAATATAGGGATGGACTACTGGGGTGCTCCAAGCTCATCACCTATACCAATGCATGGTAAGATTCCTGCAACTGCAGTTGGAGGAGCTGCTGTGCCTGGTGCTCCTAGTGATATTTGGTTGCAGGTTTTCCCTTAGCTCCATCTTTTTTATTATTAAACTGTTTCAAGCTTCTTCGGAAATGTTGAAGTTTTATTATTGCTCCAGAAGCTAGAGATATTTTGTTCGGCATGTTGTTTCTGTTAACAATTTTGGTGATATTTAGGATGAAAGGGAACTTAAAAGGCAGAGACGAAAGCAATCTAACCGGGAATCTGCTCGTAGATCCAGATTACGTAAGCAGGTACATGTCTGGCTTATGAAGATATAATTTTTTTTTTATAGTAAACAATTCCAGATTATAGCAATCTAACGATTATTTGTTTTACAAGTACTAAATAACTCTTCCAGTTGTTGAAGATAAAGTATCATTAGTGTTTGATGATTTACAGGCAGAGTACGAGGAGCTGGCTCAACGCGCTGAGGCTTTGAGAGAGGATAATGCTTCCTTGAGGGCAGAGCTGACCAGGATCAACAAGGATTACGAGCATCTTCTTTCTCAGAACACGTTGCTTAAGGTGACGAGCCTTATCTTCCTCTGATACTCTCCTCAACTCGCCCATGTTATATGAGTTTTTGCATGTACCGATTACTGACCAACCATGCAGGAGAAGCTTGGAGAAGCAAAGCAAGGTACGGAAGACCAAACTCTCGACAGAAAAGAACAACATTCTGGAGATGGCCCCAGCAGGAACTTGGATACCGAGGCGCAAACAGCGGAAACAGAGCAAGTGCGGAGTGGCGTGTAGCACTCACCTGCTTGAGATTGGAGCCTAACCCTAAACGACCTGGCACGCAGATTACATAGTATGATTAATATCTGAATATTATAGCTGTTGCTGTTGATTGGAAGTAGGTTGACTTGTGTCAATATCGACCACTTTAGCCTTGGTTTTTGTATTGAGCACTGTCTTGCTTTTAAATAGTCATTAATTGAGCAGATATAGGGTGCACAAACCCAATTTCATCTGCTGTCAAAGCATGGCTAGTGACTTCTCACAGTTGCCTATTAATATGCTGTGTATGGCTAACCTTTGATTGGATGTATTGATTGATGAGCAATCAACTATTGTTAATACACTAATCTCAACTTTTTATCTCATTGTTGATTATTAATCTGTATCGGATTATTTCAGCTGCTTGCCAATCTGATAAGAGGTTCATATGGTGGTGTGTGTTGCAACTTTTAGCTAATATATGTATATATAGCTGCTTAAAATTTTGGTGGTCACCGAGGAGATTTAAATGATTTTGATTTAATTAGGAATAATACAGAACCAATATATATTACCTCAAGCTTCCAAACCGTAGGTCATTAATATTTGGTATCATCCGTGTCATTTAAAAAAAAAATCAATCCGTATCATATGGTATTTGCTTATATCGGACTAAAGTCTTTAGTCGGATCGTGTATCAACCGGTATTTAGGATCAATTTATCTTAAATACTTATTGTTAGATTATTTTTGCAACCATCACAAGAAACATGTGAAGGTTGAAAGTTGTGGGCATTGTAAAATCATTAGCATGTTTTTTTTCTTTAAATCATCAACTATCTATGCTGATCGAGGAGGCATTGATAAATGCCAGTGTCACCCTTTACCGTAATGTTGACTTGTTTAAAATGGATAATTCCTCGTGAGCTCTCTAATCAGATAGACAAATGATACCTAATAATTAAAAGTTGCAACACACACCACTAATCAGATAGACAAATCGATAGTGTTCAGAGCATTTCGAGTCAACAATAGGTTACGATATGCTATGATGCCTCAACAAGTCCGAGCTAAACTAACTTAGCTAACTATAGCTCACGTTTGATCCAAGTGGAACAACTTGACAAATAGCATCAAAAGGGGTTAATTGTCTCATCTCGACTTTAAAACCACCCCATCACCGTCAAACAAACTATGATGACATGACTCAAATCAGAACAACAAATAATTTTCACAATAATAGATTCAAAAGTTCACTCTTTGAGCCCTATCCCAACCCTAAACGTTTTCACTCACTCGCCCTCTTTCTTGAAACTTCCATCCTTTCACTCTCATCAAACACGGTCTGAAGACTGAAATCATGACCTTCATCTTCTCTCGTCAACTAGAAAGATCCATATCTGCATAATGATATGAAGCAGGAAAGAACGTGTCGATCTTTGACACACACAAGCAAAATGCTTCCCTCTCTTGTGTTTGTTTTTAGAAAGAATCGAGAAATTAGCGAACATTGATTGCTGACCGCCTCTCATTTTATGTTCATATTCCAACATCGATGAGCAACATCTAACAACAACAATAACAATACACGAGATGAGATAATTAGTGTTGCAGGCAGTTTTATTGGTAGATAAACCAAGCGAAAAGAAAGACCATCATTTGAATATCTAAGCAATTAGATGATCTATAATTTTATTTTCTTAATAACAGAAATAAAAACATTTCACACATTGGATCATTATTATTATTATTATTATTATTATTATTATTATTATTATTATCATCATCATCTTCATTATTTTGTTATTGTTGTCAGTATAGTAGCACTGTGTGAAGCAATGCTACCTAATGCACATTAATGGCCTAGCTTGATGTTGACATGAGAAGTGGGAATTTTCTATGGATAAGGATTAGAAACTTGCTTTCCAATCTTTGAATCAAAGTCCTATCCTTCATTGCCTACCAATTGCATAAAAGGCAAACATTGCCTACTCTAAAAGTTATCCATTTTTTAAGGAAGATATATGGCCACGTGGTAATTTGTTTACCACTTTTTTAAGAAAAATAAAAAAAAATGTCTTGGCAAACAATTTTAGTGTCTATGTATCAAATTAGGGAAGCTAAAATGGCATTCAATTTTTCTTCTAGAAAAAAGATTTTTACACTCTATCAATTTACATATTATTAATCTTATCTACACATAAGATGGATTTATTTATTTAAGTTTAAAAATATATAAAATAAAATAAAATATATTATGATTTTAGAAACATAGTGAATTTTAAAGGGCACTATTACATATTAAAACTTATTTATCATATAAATAACCATTTCTACAACAATCAACTTTAAATTTTAAAGGGATAAATACAAAAAAATCAAACATATAAACATGCAAGTTTTCCTTTATGATTAGCTTATCACTACACATGCAAATTCATGAGGTGATGATGACATGGATTCCACATGGGTCATAAATTCATAGATTCCACATTGACATCAACACTACAAAACATATTCACAACGTATATGTATTGTATATGTATATGTACATGTAGCATTGGTTGCAGATGAACAATCACAAAAACTAAGAACAATTTATGATCATATACAGCACTGACAGATATCTGTTGCAATCATAATAATGATTGAAACATCTGTTGCTTCAAACTCCCCAAACAAAATTGTTTTGGCTATAAAGTGAGAACTAAGGCTAAAGTCATGCTTCCTGCATGAAAAGGAAATCACATCCTTTTCTTACAGAACACTGTTGTTGAAAGTGATTGAATTGTTTGTCCATGTTGCGTGGCTTCAACATGGCCATAACGTTGTCCAAATAATAGTAAATACAATGAGGCTTTTACATACCAAACATATTATATGCATCCCTCCAAATATTTAGACCATAATTATTCATTTATTTATTCGAACATTTATGTCACTCCTGTTAGTATTCATCAAAAAAATTCAGGTTATATCATTAATTAATTAATTGTGGTGAGTAGTGAGTTTCAAAAAACATTTAAAATAAAAACCTTTAATATTTCATTAAATACTTAAATTAAAAATATATATAATAAATATATAGATAATTTCTAAAGATATTTATATCCAATAAGTATGGGGGCTATAGAGGAGAGGAGAGGAGGGGAAATTCCATCGAGACCATCTCCTTCTCCCTCGCCAAGGTCGACGAGGACGATAGGAGGGAGACGTGACGATGGAAGACAGAGCTTATTATAAAAATAAATAAAAAATATTTTACGGGAATAAATCAAACTGAGGGTTTTTTTTTTGTAAAATAAAAAAAATAAAACTTTGGATTTTTTTTTAAGAATTTGCTTATTATAAAATAAAATGATAAGAACATGACAAGAAAAAAGAAAGCTACAGATATTTAATATTATTTTAACAAGAAACACTAACCAGTGGTCCATCTCGCGTCATCGCCCCCATCTGAAAATTTTGAGAGACAGCAGGAGGTGGGGAATGAGACTCGGATTTCTCCCCTTCTTTTTCCACCCTCGATTCTTCCTTAAAGCTCAGGAAAAGAAGAAGAAGAAGAAGAAAAGACTGCCGAAAGGTCCGCGGCATGGAGGAGAACAGCACCTGACCGCGGGAGGGGAAGGGGAGGCGCGGACGATGCCGCGGTCGGTGTCAGCTTAGACCCACGAATCGGCGGTCGGGCAAAAGCTCGAACATCTCGCGTGCATTCCATTCCGTCTCGCTTCGTTACACAACAACGAGACGAACGAAACCACCCCACCCCGCGCGATGGTTTCGGGTTGCGTGCGCTGCGCTCCCATCTCACTCTCTCTGTCGTTTTCCGCCGTTGTATATTCCAAAGCTTAGTGTTTCGCACGTTTCAGATTCGTGAATCGATCACTTTCTCGCACGTACGACACTGCAGAGGGTAAAGAGTATTTTTTTTTGGAGGTTTTATTGGATGAATTTTCGAACTGATTTTTTATTTAAAAATGTTATTTTAGTGATTTAAATCATGATAATACGAGTAATTGTTGGTGATCGATGTTTAATTTTAAGAAAAACCTTTTACTTATGTATACAATTTTGGTATATTATACATGTATCCCTTTAAATATGTCACTCTATGAGTAACATCCATTTAGCTTTTTTGAACAATATTTACATTTCAAATACCTAAAATATTTGACAAACTAATATAGAATATTTTTAGAGTACTGATAATTAGAGTTTTATCATCGTAGTATCGACGGTCAAGTCCATGATTTTTTTTAGTTTTATATGTAACAGATATACATATAAGTTTGTTTTTTAAAAAAATCATGTATTTTTTATCAAGTGATTTTTTTTAAAAAAATTACCCTTTTTTAGCTTTTTTAATAAGATGTCTATAGTTTTTTTCTCATTCATTCTCTCTTTTTTATCTAATAATCTAAATACCTCTCGTTATTGTTATCTTTTCATTTACATGCATTGTCAATTGTTGTCCCCATCTATGTCTCTATTGTGATTGAGAAGGATATTCTCAAGAACGAGTGGCTCAAGACCTTCATTTGTGTTATCAATCGTATCCACTACAACACTATCATAATGTATATCTTTATTTTGAATCTATTTTAAAAGATGATATGGGAGGTTTATCGGAGCCATACGAAGGGAAAGAGAGGGAGGTCACGTCAAAGCAGATGGGCAAAAACAGTAGGCCTCGTGATAAGACGGAGGCAACGATCGACAATATTTATTCTGTCTATCCCGAGAGAGAGACGACATTGAGAGCATAAAAAAAAAAGATACAAAATAAGAAAAATTAAAAATATAAACACCTTTAGAGAAAAAAAAACTCAAAACGAGGAATCCTTTTATAAAAACCATTTAATTTTCAAATAAAAACATAAAAAAAAAGTGTATAGATTAGAGTGGTAAATACTTCAAAAAAAAATTTGTACGTGTGCTTATTAGAATCCACAAGTCTCTCATCGTGAGTAACAATGTCTCTCACAATTTATCAACTCACCTGACATATTATTTATTCTCATTACATGGTCAACGATTCGACGTGTTCGAGTAAGAACATGTTACGACTTCCACCTCAATTTCGTCGTCGGTCGAGAGGAAAAAATCAATCCATTCGTTTTGATATCCTTTTGATCGATGTGTGTGACATGTAAGCGTTTAAAGAAACGACAGTGCAAAGTTATTAGCTTCAGTCATCTAATACGTCAATCAATTTGGCCCTTAATTTCTCTATCGAGACAAGTCCCAACAGCTAAAATATTGGTAGAGGTTAGATTACATGAGCTATCATCCGAAAGCTTTCGTTGATGGGTAGGCGAAACGCACAAGTTGTCAATTAGTCCATCTGTTTCGTCCTGCAATGATCTCAACAGAGATGTCACCATCCG